AGCTTGTTCTGAATCACCAAAGATGCGACTGGCGGCCTCTGTCATTCTGGCCACAAAGTCTGAAAATGGCTCTTGGGGTCCTTGGACAATCTTTGTAAGGTGTCCACTGGACTCTCCCCTTTTTGTGAGGGCCTTCCATGCTTTAATAGCGGCGGCCGACACCTGACCATAGACACCCCAGATGTAGTTGGTTTGATTAAGGGCATGTTGACCCTGACCTGTCAGCATTTCAAATGTCCACTGCCTCTGATTCTCATCTTCAGCCGTGGCATTAACTCTAGCTTGTGCCTGGGCTGCATCATACCAGAGAGCCTTCCATTCCATGTATTGTCCCATGTTGGGAAGCACTGCTTTCACTGTCGTCTGCCAGTCAGTGGGAGTCATGGCAAAATTAGCAAGCCTTTCCACCTGTAATGTGGTAAAGTTAGCATTGACCCCATAATTACGAACGGATTCGGCCAATTCTTTGATTTGATTGTAATCTACAGGGGTATGTACTCTTCCGCCTTCCACATTCTCGAATACTGGAAAAGCTACTTGTATTTTTCTCCGTTCCTCTAAAGGTAAAAAGGAGTCAGTACCAGTATTCAGCCGAAGCTCATACTGCGGAGGCGCTGAGGGGCGTGAGCCCGCCGGATTTATAGGCGGTGGCCTCACATTCATTTTTGTTTTCAGTGGCCGGTGTCTATCAGGGTGATATCTTTCTTCCTCATACCGTGCCACCTCCTCCTCTAGACCACCTTCTTCGCTAGAATACAGAGTGTCAGAATCAGAATTATCTAGCTCCAAGGCTTCTAGCTCTACTGTAGGGTATAGACTAGATTCTGGCTTTTTCTTTTTCTTAGATTTGTTAGGGGGTGAATGATCACTCCCTTCTTTCTCTCCCCCTTTCTTAACTTCTTGGGGAGGGCCTTTTTTCTTAGACATGTCTTTCCTTTTGCGAGCTCCCATTCTCTCACTCCGTTCAGTTTCTGACATGCTATCCTGAACTTCCTCTAAGGTTCCCTGACTTTCTATTATAGCAGGGTGACAGGCCTCATCCTCCAAGCAGTTTTTAACTAGCTTCCAAATGGCTTTGGTACCTAAGTGGAGATCTCCTTCTGCATGCTTCCTGTCTAGTTCTTTACCTAGCTTGTTCCATGAGGCCACAGTGAGGGACCCGGAACAAGCATACCATGGTGCCACTCTATCTACCTCCTTCACAAAATTTTGAAGTGTTCGTGGTGCAATTTTAAGATCTCTTTGTTTTAGCACAGTCTGTAGGGCAGTAACCACTGACTGTGACAACCCCATCGCGCTAGCGGCTTATCTAAAAAACGGCGCTCAACTCCGTTACCAGACTGACAGCACCAGACTGACAGCACCAGACTGACAGCACCAGACTGACAGCACCAGACTGACAGCACCGTTCTGTCAGCACCAGCCACGATGAAGGAGAAGGACAAACAGGACTAGCACCAAAGCCTCCACTGACCCGTCCCACGGTGATGACAAACTAAGGCCAAAGTCGAGAAAGGGGGTGTTCAGGATAAAGCATACCTCTCTGAACTTACGTCCCTGCAGTTCTGAATCCGCCCCGTCTTCCGAGGGGTCTCCCGCGGCGCCGGCGATGTTGAAGAGTTCCCGGGTTTCGGCACCAGATGTCCCGCGCTACCGTCTCGCCAGCAAGAACGACGCAGAACACTCGGATCCTTCTGCAGTAAAGCTTTAATGCATCTTGAGAGATAGATGATCAGCTTCTTAGAGGGAGACCCCAAGCTAAGAAACCCAGCCCCTTATATAAGCCTAGGAGCTCCGAGTGAGACGTGTAGAGCCGGGATTGGTGGTTTGCACATCACCCCAGATGACGCCACGGGAGAGGCACAGCTTAAACGGTTAACTTCAACTGACAGCAGATGTCAGCGCCATCTTCTAACGGTTAACTCCAACTGACAGCAGATGTCAGCGCCATCTTCTAACGGCAATAGCGATAGCGAGGGCGGCTCCTCACACTCACAAATCCCACTTCTAAAAATATACTCTGAAGAGAAGTATATAAATACTAAGAATTGAAGCCAACCATGGCTGATCTAAGTAAGTAGTTCCAGGCCAACCAGAGCTACATGGTGAGACCCTGTTTCAAAATTAAAAATAAAGAATTTGCATGACTAATTTTTGATATCTTAAATAATTTCTTGTTATGGTCAGTGAGGGATATCATGCATTAATTATTTCACATATGTTTTATGAGTGTTTTTTATTAAAGTACATTTTTCTTTTTTGAGGGGGGAATAGAATCTTTCTATACAGCCCAGGCAGGCTTGGAAATTTGGTCTTCTCTTCAGCCTTCCTATTACAGGAGTAGCCATGAAGCTCAGCTTCAGAGCACAATTTTCCATTAATAAAAAATTGAAAACAACCCACAAATCCATCAATACAGAGCAAGCAGATAATTTACAGGTATATAACAGAGTACTGAGAAGTAACTATGATAATTATGTGGATTTATGTCTACTAATATGACCAAGATAGACCACAAACTGAGATAAAGCAAACATAAGCATTCAGTCACAAAAGCACCTCCACATCCACAGATGTGCACACACAGAACTCAAGCATACAATTCTCATGGACTGATATGGATAATTATAGATAAAGTCTGAAAAGGAAATCAGACAGATGTTAGCTGCATTTACATTTGGAACACATGAATGAAAACTTGGTGAGGAGAGGAACTTTTGGACTTTGTAGGCTCTAGTGTTGTTCATTTTGTTTATTTTTACCATATATAATATATACAAATATATACCATATATAATATATACAAATATATACCATATATAATATTTAAAAAATGTACATATATTGCATATATAGTAAAAATTTAAATAAAACATAGAAATTAGAAAGGAGACAAAAACAACTTGTAGATAGAATTAATGACCATATAAGAATATTACATTTAATTTTTGAGACTCCGTGTGGGAAGAGCTGCATGGTCCTTCTCTGAAATCATGATTGTAGAGTGTCCAGCAAGAAACTGAAGGTTTCTTGTGCAGGATGGGAAGGAAGTATAGCAAAACATATTGGAAAGTGTGCAGTGTGTGGAGGGCTGGGTGTTCAACAAAACCCTATTTGGAATAAGCATGAATTGCAATGGGATATTTTTCCTTTTTTTATTAATTTATTTTTGATATTCCAATCCCAGTTCCCCCTCCCTCCTTTCTTCCCACTCCCTCCACTCCCTCCTCCTCCCATCTTCTCCACAGAGAGGGTAAGGCCTCCCATTTGAAGTCTACTAAGTCTGTCCCATCAGCAATGGGATAGTTTTAAGTAAAACCAATGTTGTAGAATAACACAAGTAAGGCGATGGACAGGTAAGTCTATTTAAAATGGGTTAATAGGTAAGCATGGTACCACATGCATATGATTCCATCATTTAGAAACCAAAATAAGAGGACTGTATAGTTGAAGCCAGCCTGTGATATGCAGAAAAAATCTAGTTTCTAAGCTAACAAACATTGGTTAGGAATTAAGATCTTGCTGGACATGGTGGCACACACCTTTAAACCAACACATGAGAGGCAGAGGCAGGCAGATCCCTGAGTTTGAAGCCAGCCTGGTTTATAGGGCAAGTTCCAGGATAGCAAAGGCTAGACAGAGAAACCCTGTCTCAACAAAAAATTAAGATATTAAGGAGAAGAACCATTGCTAATATTTTAATTTGGTTACTTTAGAAAAGTCTTATGTTGTACACCAGAATACTGACTTATTGGTGACTCATCTGAACACTATTATGAGCTCAGAGGACACCTACCTCTCAGGGACATGCTCTTCTCACTTCACTGAAAACCGCACTTAAGGATGGAATGATCTGCCTAACCATACATATATTTTCATAGTACACATTGGACTCAAAAGAATTTCCATAGGTGATTGGTGTTTTTGTGTATTGGTGATTTCTTTAAACTATATGTTTTCTTCATTCTATGAGATTTTCATACATGTATGCGATGTATTTTGATCATGTCCATGCCCTCATTTTTCTTCAAATCCCCTTGGATTCCATCTATTGATATTTTTTTATATTGACTGACATACTGAGTTAGTGTTTATAACATCTTTTATTTTGGATTTAAAATACAAAAAACAACTGCAGAATATGCTTTGATGTTTTCTTTAATACAAGGTTTCTGAATTTCAACACTATCAACATTTTGGACCATTTTGTTGTAGAGTGCTCAGTTTGAACTCAGCCTCACATACGATGGGCAAGTGCTTTGCTATTGATCTACAGTCCAATTCCTGGATTACAAAGTTCGTTGAAACTGTCCTGGGTATCACAAGATGCTTATCAGCACCTGTGGCTGCTATCCACTAGGATGTCAGGAGCAAACTGCTGTCTCTCCAGTTATGGGAAGTCAGATAATTCTCCTGATCCCTGACGAGCAATGAAACCTCTAGCTGAGAACCGCTGGTCTACAGTTTAGAAAAGTCTCAAGCATCAGAAATATTTGTCATCTGGGTGTAGTTTATGTTAATTTTTTTACATTTGACATTGTGCCATGATTTGGGTGAGTCTTATACTGCCAGTAGTGCCTTGTTTTGTTTTTCTGACACTAACTAAATCCAGCTAGTTTTCAGTTATTAAACCTATCAGCATTCCAGCTAGTTTTCAGTTATTCACTCAACACAACTAATTCATTCCTCAAGTATTTTATTGAAAACTTATTATTATAGTGTCTGTTAGTGAGTAAATTACTGATGCTGTAGAAGAGATAAGAGGGGCTTTTGCCTTCAAAAAGTTCCTGGTCTTTTGAGGAAGACTAAAATCAATCATTCAGGATGCAGAGTGAAGTGAAATGGGCCCAAACCTAAGAAACCACCTAAATGCGAAAAAGGAAATAAAGAAGTTAAATTCCCTTCACAGATTGTTTGTAAAGATTTTACATAAAGATTTATCATTAGATTCTCTCTCTCCCGCTCTCTCTAACACTTCTTTTTTGTGTTTTTTCTCTTAGCTGCTGTGGCTGTTACATGGACTGACAGAGTTATCCCAGGATTAGCATGGATTGTTCCTTTTGCTATTTCCGCCTCATTATTTAGCAACCTTGTGATTAATGTACTTGAATCAGCAAGAGTGTTATATATTGCAAGTGAGCAAGGTCAGCTGCCCTTGATGTTTAGTACCCTTAATGTTCACTCATCCCCCTTCGTAGCTGTTCTTCTAAACATCAGTATGGGATCCATTGCAATTGTCTTAACAAACTTAATTCAACTGATAAACTATCTCTATTTTGCTATTTCTATTTGGACTCTGTTATCCTTAATAGGAATCCTGAAACTGAGGTACCAGGAGCCCAATCTACACAGACCTTATAAGGTAAATATGGACTGGGTAAATTTGTTCTATGTGAAATAAACTTTATGACTGTATTTGAGGAGTATATTCAGAATATCTCCAAGTTGAAGTGTTACTACTCAGCAAACTGAGAAACAAATACAGGTAATCTGGTCTTCATTTTCACTCTGTTCATGGTGAATTTACTCAATACAAAATCTCTTAGTTCAGTCTAAGAATTTGCTAGTGAGAAAGGCAGAAATTTTCAAATGGTGGCACAGCTCATTGCAAATCATTCGACCTGAGGACATTTGGTTTAATTACACAGCTATTTACACATGCTGTAGCATCTACAGTGCGGGCAGATTTAGCAAATGATAGGAGAATTAAAGTCAAATCATGAATGGTATTTACTGTTCTGAAATATCAGCTCATTTTGATTTTCAAAAGATTCCTTCCCTTCTACTTTATTACTTCTTATTATCAAATACTATATTATTTTATGTAAACTTGCTGCTAGTCAAGGGGAGAAAATATGTCATGTAAAAGGAGATCATTTTTTCATAATACAAAAGATAATAAGCAGAAACTTGGTAGAATGAGGGTGTTATTGGGGGAGAGAGCCTAGGTGGATAAAAGAATAGTCTTAATTGGCTGGTAGCATGTCCAAATACAGGATCACCCTTCCCATTATATCAATATCTATAGATGCCTGTTAAACCCAATTGGGTCATAATTTCTATTAGTTCCTTTGTTTCTTCGTTCAGTTTCTGTCTTATGGTCCTGTCTAGTGGTGAGAGTGGAGTGTTGAAGTCTCCCTGTATAAGTGTGTGAGGTTTTATGTGTGATTTGAGTTTTAGTTAGGTTTCTTTTACAAATGTGGATGCCTTTGTATTTGGGGCACAGGTGTCCAGAATTGATACTTCCCCTGTGATGAATATCAAATGACCTCCTTCATCCCTTTTGATTGATTTCAGTTTAAAGTATAATTTGTTAGTTATTAGGATTGCTACCCCTGTTTCTTTCTTGGGCCCATTCGATTGGAAAATCTTTTCATAACCGTTAACTCTGAGGTAATATCTGTCTTTGAAGTTGAGGTGTGTTTCTTGTATGCAGCAGAAGGATGGATTCCGTCTTCATATCCATTCTGTTAGCCTGTGTCTTTTTATAGGTGAGTTAAGACCACTAATATTGAGGGATATTAATGACCATTGATTGTTAATTCTTGTTTGTTTTTGATTTGTTGTTGTTGGTGAAATTGTGTGTGTATTTCCACCCTTTTTTCTTTTGGCTGTTGGTAAAGTGGGATTATCTAATGCCTATGTTTTTCTGGTTTTAGTTAACTTAATTGGGTTGGAGTTTTTCTTCCAGAACTTTTTGTAGGGCTGGATTAGTGGATATGTATAGTTTAAATCTTGCTTTGTCATGGAATATCTTGTTTTCTCCATCTATAGTGACTGAAAGCTTTATTGGATATAGTAGTCTGGGCTGGTATACGTGGGTTCTTAGTGTTGGTAGAATATCTATCCAGAACCTTCTGGCTTTCAGAGTTTCCATGGAGAAGTCAAGTGTAATTCTGATAGGTCTGCCTTTTTATGCTAATTGGCCTTTTTCCTTAGCTGCTCTTAATATTCCTTCTTTATTCTATATGTTTGGGGTTTTAATTATTATGTGGTGAGGGTACTTTTTTTGTGGTCCACTCTACTTGGTGTTCTGTAAACTTCTTGTTCTTTCATTGGCGTGTCTTTCTTTAGGTTGGGAAAGTTTTTTTCTATGATTTTGTTGAACACATTTTCTGTACGTTTGGGTTGGGTTTCTTCACCCTCTTCTATACCTATTATTTTTAGGATTGGTCTTTTCATAGTGTCCCATATTTCCTGGATATTTTATGTTAAGGATATTTTGGACTTAAGATTTTCTTTGGTTGATGAATGTATTTCTCATAGTGTATCTTCAATGCCTGAGATTCTCTCTCCTGTCTCTTGTATTTTGTTGGTTATGTAGTCCCTGATGATCCAGCTTTTCTAGTTCTAGAATTCCATCAGTTTGTGTTTTCTTTATTGTTTCTATTCAGTTTTCAGGTCTTGCACTGTTTCTTTCATCTATTCGATTGTTTTTTTCTTGGCTTTCTTTAAGAGATTTGTTGATTTTTTGTATTTTTTGGTTTGTTCTTTTCTTCGATTTCTTTACGAGATTTTCTCATATCCTCTTTGGGTGCCTCTATCATTTTTATGACATTTTTTAAAGGTCATTGTCTTTTGCTTTATCTGTGTTGGAATGATCATGTCTTGCTTGTGTAGAGTCCCTAGAATCTGGTGGTGTCATATTTGTTTCTCTTTTGTTGAATATGTTTTTATTTTGTCTTCTTCCCATCTCTTCTTCCAGTGGTTGCAGAAGGAGTCTTTTCCTCTCCTGGTGGTTACAGTCCAAGGTTCCTTCTGGTGGGTGCAAGCAAGTCCAATACTCCACTGTCTCTCCTCTTCTCATGGGTGGAGGGCAGACTAGTACCAGGATCTTGGTAGTCATTGGGTGGGTTGGATCACCAAGATGGGTTCCCCAGTGCGCAGTCCTCAGGCCTCTAGAATCTCTGAGCAGAGCACCAGAAGACTGGCTAGAAACAGGCCCTAGCTTATCTAGTCCTGTGGGCAGAGGCTGGACTAGGAAACTGGCAGTCTCTGTGTTTCCTGGACCACAGGGTTGACATCCCCAATGCACATTCCACAGGCCTCATGAGGCTCTGAGCAGGGCACCTGAAGCGTGTTGATTTATTTACCACTATCTTCTTTTCAGTTTTCCCTTCTGCTTCTTCCATTCAGCCGTTACTTAACTCTTGGATTTTTGAGAACTCATGTGATTATATTTCAAGCATCTTCCTAGGTTCTCTTCTCTGAGTACAGAAAGAAATAAGATTTGGCTCCCATGTTCAGGCAAGTTATCATCTATCTGGACACCCAGTGGATGCTAACTGATGCACTGACAGTGACACCCAGAGGACAACTGGAGGAGCCCCAGATGTATCTAGTGTATGGTTAATGCCCATGAGTTCCTTGGAAGCCCCTCCTTGGGATGTCCTTGCTTCCTAGTTTATATTTGTATCTATTAAAATAATTTGCTTCTTTGCTGTTTTCTGACTCATACTTATATCACTGACTAGGTAAAATGAATCATTGGTACACTGAGAAACACAAGGTAATCATTGTAGTTTAGGCTCAAGTCTAGGTCCCCAGTGTCTTTTCTAAGCTTTCTCTTGCTGTTTCATGACTGACCTTCAATTTGTTCGTATCTACCATGGACACAGTCAATATCTGCTTCCCTAGAATCTGAGGTGGATTATATAAGTAAAGACATGCAAAAATCCAGGGTATGGAATTAACAGTTATTGTTTACTATTGAATACATGTCCTCAAAAACAGAGGCAAAGGCAACCTTAAGCACAGATAGTTAAATATTTTTTGTCTTTCTTCAGGAGTGTTTATATCCTTCACTCAATTATTTGATAAAAAAATTTGAGCTGTGAAATAGTGAGTTATCTTTCTTAAGGCCTTTAAACAATTAAGAGGAGGCTGTTATTTAAGACTCAAGTGAATGACCTCATTAAAAAGTTTCATAATTTCAACTAGCTATAGCATACGGTTATGGTATAGATTCGTGTTTTCTATAGAAAACATCTCAAAAATTGATTGTCTACAGCCAGGTGTTATGTGCCTGCCTATAATTCAAGTTATTTTAGAGGCTTTTGCAAGGCAGAAGCAGAAAAATGGTGAGTTCAAGACCAACCTGAGCTACTTAGTGGGAGAAGTCTCAAGAGAAACAAACAACAAACAGATGAACAAAAACCAAGGATAATGTAGCAATGTCAAGTGTGGGACGTTTATATTTCTAACACAATCCATGTACCAAGGATGAATCCTTATCATTTTGTTAAAAAAAACAGAATAGAATTGTTTCAGGCAAAAGATTATTTTGTCTTGATATATTCCTTTCTTAATCTGTGAGACATATACAATCCTAATATTTAACTGTTGATATGAACTTGATTGACAGAGGGTAAAATAGTTTCCTCTTGATCTGCTTACTGATTTGAAATAGTTTCTATGGAAGATTTTCAGGATCTCCAGCAGGCTCACAAACTGAATACGTTCATAACACCTATGCCTGCAAAGCGGTCATAATAATCAGTGTATGTTTATGACCATGTCCACTCATGAAGAGTCAAAGCTAGATTCTCATCCCCCCAACCAACAGTTTCTCTGAGACAGTCTTTAGCATTTCCTTTTATTTTAGCATTGTGCGTCCTGAGCACGCTGATCTAACTCAAAAGCTTGCTTAATCTATTTCCTGTTACCACTGTCACATTATTTTTACTTACATGTATATTCAGCTGTCACACACGAATTTTCACATCTAATAACTTCCTTTAATTATGTCTTTCCAGGTGTTTTTGCCGTTCCTCTTCATAGCAATGGCCATCAGCCTGTGCTTGGTCTTGATTCCCCTTGTCAAGTCTCCAAAGATGCATTATATCTATGTGCTTCTCTTCCTTCTCAGTGGACTGCTGTTTTATGTGCCATTGATACACTATAAAGTGAAGCTGGTTTGGTTTGAGAAGTTAACTTGCTATTTGCAATTACTTTTTAATATTTGCATACCTGATGCATCTGATGAGCAAATGTCAGAAGTAGTAAACTGAAAAATAAAAGCCCTTTATAACTACACCATGTTCCAGATAAAGGTTAAGTATAGGCTAGAATAGTAATGATGACAACTCTTGAAACTGAGATGGTGTATAGAAAAATACCCAGGAAGTTCTTGGCTTAAAATGGCAAAGAAAGAGGTTGGGAGGAAGGATCTACTGTTAAGAGTATAAGTTACTTTTCTAGAGGACTGGGGTTCAATTTTCAGGCCCCACATGGAAGTTCACAACTATCTGTAACTTTAGTCACAAGGGATCCGATATCCTCTTCCGGATTTTGCAGGCATTGCATCCATATGGTGGACAGACATACATGTATGTAAAGCACCCAGGCACAAAAAAGATAATAGCAAAGAAGGTATTACACATAACTAAACCTCTGTTTTAATAAAAAGTAAAATTACTAGTTTGTGTAGCTTCATGTATTAATGATGTCTTTCTCATTCTTCTGTTTGTTTAACTCACCCATTTCCTACTGAATACGTTCTTATAATAAACATTAGTGGTTGAAAATAAAGAAAAACTAGTTAATGGTTGAAAATAAAGAAATTTTTGACTGTTCTCATTGTGTAGCCCATGGTGGCTTGAACTCCTCACAGCATTCCTGTTGTCTCAGCCTCCTGAGTACTGAAATGACAACTAGAGCCACTGCTTCTGTCCCTGCCTTACCTCCTCAACGATGGGCTATGATCTGTAAGTTAAGATAAGCCCCTTTCTTCTCCAGGTTGGTTTTGATCAGTTTTTATCACAGCAACAGAAAAACCAGCTAGTACAGACACATTTACCAAGCTTCTCACCTTCAAACCAAAAGTGCTTTAACTAGTTAAAGTGCTCAAATGAAGTGTTCATAGGGACTGTGTTAGTCACCTTTCCCTGTTGTTGTCATAAAATACCCTGACACATGTAGTTGAAGGCAGTAAGAGACTATTTTCACTATAGTGCCAGAGAGGCATGGCTCATTTGGTCAGGAAGACATGACAGTAGTCAACGAAGGCATGGTGGCAGGAGCAAGACGCTGGCTGTTGCAGTTTGCTGTCCAGGAAGTAGGATGTGAATAGAAGCCAGGTTGGGATTGGAGGTGGAGTTTTTCTTTTGCCTGACCACATGGTCACAATTAAACACACACTTATATTAATTACAAATGCTGGCCAATAGCTCAGGCCCATGACTAGCGCTTACATTTAAATTAACCCACTTTTATTAATATATTTATTACCACGTGGCTTGTGGATTTATTTGCCCTCTAACACCTTGCTTCCCCAGCACCTGGCTCATGTCTCTTCTGTCTCTGCTCTTCTTCTTTGACTCCTTAGTTTGTTTTTTTTCTACATAACCTTACCCTGTCTGGCCATTGGTAGGTCAGCTTCTTTATTAAACCAAGCAGAGCATAATTTACACTAGTGTACAGGAATATTCCTTAGCACCATCTCTTCCCACAAAGCCTCAAAGCTGGTTCCTAGCAATTCACTTCATCCAGAAAGACTCTGCCTTTTGAAGGTTCGTTCCTCAAGGATCCTAAACAGCACTACTGGCTATGAACCAAGTTTTCAAACATTTGAGACTGTGAGGGCCATTTCACTTTCAAACCACAACAGAGAAGAAAGATAGTTCTCTTAAAAACATGTAGTCATTTGTAAATTGGGCTTTACATCCTGAGTTGTATTTCTTTCTTTCCTTTTTGACCGGGTTTCACTGTGGACCCTCAAGATCTGAGACAACAGTCATAAAGTTAGCCATAAGTGGGCTTTCTTAAAATGAGAATTAAATGAAAAAAGTCAGTGATTCACAAATTGTAAATGCCCAATGTTATATTAAAATAAAACGCCTATATTATTTTATTTATTTTTTAAATGACCATACTAGTATCACCCACAATTCAGCCTAAAGTGGGTATGCAAATTGGTTACATGCACAAATTTTTAAAATGTTCTACAAAATTGAAAAACAGATGAACAGGAAATACAAAACAAATTTTTACTGAATGAATGGGTAAAGTGGATGGATGAGGGAAGTCCAAAGTGTCAAGAGTATGTGGTGATCATTTGTTATTCCAAATTGCTAGGAGAAACAGGCATAGAATGCAAATGAGTGCTCTGGAGAACTCAACAATTTAAGATAACATGGAAAATGCTAGAACATAAACTTTCCACAGGAACACTGTGCTGTGTTCCTGCTGATAAAGTGGTCTGTTGCATCATGGGAAGTTCCTGGAGCCCCTTGTAGGAAAGCTCTTTGAATTGGATTAAGGTTAAAGCCTGTCTCACCTTGTCTGGAATTTTATCTAATAATATTGCATACTTATCTAGCATCAAATTTCAATTTGTGTAATAGACATTCAGTTTCTTGCCATAAACAGAACTCATTAAAACAAACGAAATGTACCAGGACAAGGTGTTCCTCATAAAGGCCAGCGGCTTCTGTAATTCTCTTTCCTTTTTGAGTCTCAAGCAGAATTCTGAGTGCAAGCAGAATTCCATCCAGAATTTCATTGACTGCTGATTCCAATCTTATCACAACAGTTATGTATTTTTAAAGGAAAAATGTATCACTGAAAGACAATATTTTCTTTTGCTCACAGGAAACATGCACAATGTTTTTCAGTGAAAAATTCTGGCTTACATACTTTCTGACGTCACAACTGCCCTCAAAGCCCATTCTCCTTTTGGAGTTTTTAAAAATCTGGATGGAAAGTTCTGCAGATGTTACAGGTTACAAATCAGAGCCCAACTGCTATGAGATTTTGTCTCCTGGACATAGCAGTGAAGCTTCACCCATGATAGTTCAACAACATTGCTGCCTAATAAGACCTGAACAAGTACAACACCAATAGGCAAGCTAACTAAAGGGATCCAACCCCTAGATAAAGAACTACAGAAGACTAAGGAATGCTGATAACCAGAGAAATAATTTTCCCTAGAATGACTTCCCCTAATTGATTATCTAATACCAAGTAGTCAGTTCTGAATCACATTATGTACTGGTAACCAAAAGGAGACAGAGAGGGGTGTATTTATATATTCAGGCATATCTATCTATCTATCTATCTATCTATCTATCTATCTATCTATCTACATTTCTTTCTTTTCTCTCTCTCTCTCTCTCTCTCTCTCTCTCTCTCTCTCTCTCTCTCTCCCTCCATATATATGTAAGAGGGCCATGATTTTGAAAGGTAGCAGCAGGGGCACATTGGAGGTGTTGAAAGGAGGAAAGGTAAGGGGAAAATCATACAATTATATATTTTTAAAAACAAGCAGTAGCTGGAAAATTTGTGATGTTTTGCTTCTTCTTCAGGTTAGTATAAAGGAAATGACATAAAGCAATTGTGGAAAGACCTCTGGAAAGTAGTGAGTAGGGTTCTATTTAAATATTTCAAGCTGAAGGCTGACTCTTAGAAAGAGCTCCTTTAATTGCTCTTCAGAAAAACTGTAGAAAAATTGTGGGCATATATTTATGGTTAAGGGGAAAAGCTGTTCAAGGAACAATGCTACTGAAAAGGTACAGACACTGACTCCCAAGCGACTTTGAGGTTCATCTACACTGTAACATGTACCAGGGATTTCCTCCTTCTTCTCCTTATCCTCCTCCTCCTTTTCTCTCTTCCCCTTTCATTCTTTCCCTTTGAAACAAGGCATTGCTATGTTGCCCAGGGTCATATGGCATAAGACAAGGGTACCCACTCTCCCCACTCTTATTCAATGTGATGTTGATTTTTAATACATTTTTAAATAAATATTCATAAGTTGGATAACTTATTCATAGGGATAAAATGCCCCTGTTTTATCTCCCAAGTCATCGTGGTCCAAAAACTCACTTTTCAAGGAGCTTCTTCCCCCAACCTTCTCGAAAAGCCCACAAGGTAGACTTAAAACCACAAGGCACACAATGTCAAAATGAGGATAGGTCTTTTGAGGCAGCAGAGCCTTTACTTGTACATGTGGGAAGAATATACCTGCAGCATCAAGGACGCTTAACCACAAAGGTGCATTCTGCCCAGAGACACAGTTTCCAAAATAAAGTTGGGGTTTTCCTTAGTACATTGTAGCTAATTCCTTGTCTACCCATTCTCACTATCAGCATCAAAATAGACCAACAGATAAATTATTAAATGTTACAAAATTTAAAGAAACTGTCCAAGAAAACAATCACACATTCATCTTTTATCCTGTTCTGATAAACAACAGTGTCCTCTTTCATGGTCTGGATTTTGTAAACTTGTATGAATGTATGTGGCATATATGTATGTATGACCAGGTTGTCGTTCACTGCCCCACCCGATACATTTGCTTGTAACATTGCCACCTGTAGTATTTTGTCTCTGTTTTCAAAAGGTATCAGTTGGAGTTCTTCTTTGAAATCTGTGCTCTAAGCAGCAATAATCCCATCTAAAAAAACTCTCAGTACAGCTTAGACCCAACTCAGTATATGTGGTGTGTGTGTGTGTGACTGTCACATGTGTCTATCTTATTTATTTTTATAAGCTTCTACAATGAAGGGATGCATTTTGTTATGATAGCATTAATTTCAAAATGGTAAAATTGTGACTCTTACCCAAATGTAAAATGAACATGTATTAAAGATTGTACTTGCGTCATAGTTGATTGGAAAATTGGTAAGATGTGAAAACTCATTTGAGATTGTGTGTTTCCCTGAAACAGGGTCTTACATTTTAGTCTAGGATGCCTTCAAACTCACCATCCTCCTGACTAAGCATCCCCAGTAATGGAATTTAAGTATGTATTTCTGTGACAAGCCTCCTGAGCTTTGAACACAAAGTAGAATAAAATGAATTTGTATTGACATTGTGTTATTCTGCTTTTTATTGCTATAGTAAAATACCAAAAGCAAGCTCTCTATTACAAACAGTTTCTTTATTATAGCTTGTAATTCTGGAGTTTCAAAGGGTTCCACATCTGGTGATGGCCTTTTTACTGGCAGGAGCTCCAGGTGGTACAAAACATTATGTGTGAAATACTGGAAGTATGCATTAGTGCATGTCTTCTCTCCCTCCCTCCCTCCCTCC